TTCCCTGCAGGGCAAGATGCAAACGCCTCCCTTGGCAAGAAAGTCTCTTTTGAAAAAAATTTAATGAATAAGACAGGCGCTGTCTTTGGAATGAAATGGCTCTTGTCTCAGAGACGGATGCACATGAAGGCCTTGAAGAAGTCATTTCCCCTCTCGGTACCTCAGTTTCCATGTCTGTAATGTGGGACAGCAGCCACTGTATTGCCCAGCTCTCGGAGCTGCTTCAAGGATCCCAAGAGGTGAAGGCAAGTAGGACAAGATGGGCGACAGGTCATGAGACCCTTGGCCGAGAGCTCGGGAGGCATCCCTCCAACCCTGCCGCCCCTCTGCTAGGGCACAGTGTCTGCCCCTATAACAGACAAGGCCTTAGCCTGGGGTATTGGTGGTCACCTGTCTGGCTCCCGCACTGAGGCAGCCATCCCCTGGGCTCCCAGAAGTGCTCCTCCTGCCCCGCTTCTCTGGGTGCCAGGACCAGCTTTCTGGGCTTTGAGACATCCATCCCAGAGGACCTGCCCAGGCCTGCATCCCCAGCGTGTGGCCATGGCCACAGCTGGAACACCGTGGTCACCAGGGCTGAAAAAGGCCACGTGCAGCCCAAGGGGTCAGACCTCTCAGCTCGAGGGCCCAGCCACACCATCTGCTCGGGCAGGGAGGGGACCCCGGAAAGGAGCCTCATCTCATGTGTCTACTTCCCCCGACTGACACAAGGTGCCCCAAGAATGTCGCCATCCTCCCCAGGTACAGGGCCTAGAGCACACCTGTCTCTCATCTGCCAGGAGCGCCCCCACAGCTTCTAGGCTGTCCACACTCAAGGGGTCCAAGAGGCTCAGAGTGGTGAACCCTTACTCAGGGTCACACAGAGGATCTAGATCTCCAGATGGCCCTGTCACCAGATTTGACAATTAAAACAACCCTCCCCGTCACTCAGATCCCAAACTCCTCATACAACCAGGCCCCTGCCACCCTCTATACCCACATCCTGGCCCCTCTTAGGCTTTTTTATCTGCTCCAGCCTTGCTTGTGTACCTGCCTCGGGGCCTTTGCACTTACTGCCCCCTCCTCCTGGGATGTTCTCTACAGGCCTTTTTCTAGGGCTAGCTCCTTCACACTCTGAGCTTTAGCTGAAACATCAGCTCCTGGGCTGAGGCAAGAGGATCACTACGAATTAAGGCCAGCCCGGGCTACAGAGTGAGTTCAAGGACAGCCTAAACTACAAATCAAGACCTTGGCTCAAAAAAACGAAAAGAAAGAGAGAGGGAGAGAGAGCAGGTTCCTAATGAAGCCCTTCCCTGACCTCACCATCTAAAGCAGGAACTCCAAGCTCTCCACCTACTCCCTATTCCCTCTGAAGCAAGGGTTTTTATTTTCTGGTTTGTCTGGAAGCCTGTCTTGTTCACAGTTGTGACCCCCACCTTTCACTGAGCCTGGCATCTAAAAGGTCTGAAATAACTATTTGTTGACTGAATGAACAAGCAACTGAATCACCCTACCCATCTCAAAAAGAATGGCAGGTCTGGACTGGGGCCTCCTGCCTCCCCTGTGGGTTAGATGTCTGTTCTAACCCCCTCACATCTGAGTTCCTGGGAGAAGCTGCCCCAGTGCCCTCTGTCCTGCCTCACCCAGGTGACTTCTCTCCCGGTGGGCGGAGCTGGCTGGCACAGAAACCACTGATCCGTCCCTTAACTGGTCTCTGGGCGCCTCACCCCACAGTGGCCCCATGAGTCATTTACAGGGAAGAGGTGGAGAGGGTAAGTGGTTGGCTATGCCTGTTCCTCCTGGAAGCAAGATCCACAAGCCTTGGGGTCCATCCTGCAAGTTAAGGTGATCACCTGCTCCCTTCCAGGAAGGACAGGGATCAGTCACAGAAGTCTCCACTGCAAGTGAGGGACTTTCTCAGGCCTTTTTTGCTCTTCTGTAAAATGGGGGCATGGAGGGGTCTATAGCCCCCTCCAGGGCTACTGTCTGTCTCTGTGCCGAAGCCCCAGGCAGTAGGCCATCTCCACCAGCCCTGTACGCAGAGCTGAGCCTGGGCTTCTCCAACATGAAGGCCAAAGCACTTCTGAGTTGCATTTTGAAGCGCCTGCCTCACAAGAACCCAATGGACCAAGCCAAAAAAAAAAAAAAAAAAAAACCTGTAAGAAATAAAATCTCTCCATATAAGTACAAAGAGATGTCCAGATGGATGTTACCAACCAGTAACGGTGGTTCCTTCCAGTGGTAGAATTGAAGATTCTTTTATTGTCTTTACTATGCTTTCCTAAATTGCTTGAATTCTTTTTTAACCAGTTGCTCGTATTATTTTCACAATAAAACAATAAGCCTCTTTTTCAAAAATAAAAGTCTGCCAGAAACCAAATCCACTCTTTTTGCTGCCTGGGGTGACCTAGCTGCACTGGGAGGCTGGGCACCTGGCTCCTTCCAGAAAGGCCACGTCCCACCCTCAATCTGTGCCTGGGAGGAAGAGCTGGATGGTTGGGAGGTCACCAGGCAGGCACCTAAGTCCCAGTCTCCATCTGTCGCTAACTGGCTGGGGGCTAGCTGACGGCTTCCACCACCTCCCCTTTGCTTCTTGGTAAAACAAAGAGGCCTCAAGTCCTGGGCATGGAACCCAGGGCCTTTGCACTGAGCTACATCCCCAGCCCTTTATTTATATTTTTATTTTGAGACAAAATCTCACTAAGTCAATAAGTTGCCCAGCCTGGACTGGAACTTGCAATCCTCCTGCCTCAGCCTCACAGAGTACTGGGATGTGCCAGTGCTTGCCTTCCTTGAGAAATCTTTAAGGGCCCTTCTCATTCTCCATCTATGGCTCCTGAGCATCTGGTGTGGAGAGAAAGGTAGAAGAATGGGTGAGCTGTAAGGAGTGGAGTGTTTGTGAGCCATAAGTATTGGTAAGTGCCAGGCACTTCACTGAGCTCCTTTACTTATTAATCCACTTAACCTTCTGAGTAACTGGCAGGCGGGCCCTAATATCCATTCCAAAGATAAGCCAAGGGCATCACATGGAAGTCAGTGCTAAGTCACTTAGCCTCTGAGTGCTACAGTCAGGATTTGAACACAGGCAGCTTGATACAGAGTCCACATTCGAACCAGTAAGCTACATGGAAATACAAAGATGCAAAAGCCAAGCTCTGATAACCAGGTCCCTGCTCAGAGAAGACAAGAAAGAGTTCATACTTCTCTGGCATTCGTTACCTCCCCCGCCCCAACTAAGCAGGTCCTTTTCCTCCTGATTAGTCAGTATCTCCAGCCGTGACTCCCTTACCCAACTGGTAACCCTTCCCCTTTGGCACAATGTGGACTCCATGCTTTCTAAAGAGTTACTAGCCTCGAGACCAGCCCAGATCACTGTGCAAATTCAAGGCCTCGTCAAACCTGACCACAGGGCTGGATCTCACCAAGATTCGATCACCCTCCTGAAACAGGTCCTCCCCAAGCATCTATGTCCCCAGCCCCAAGCCCAGCAATCAGAAAAACACAAATGAGCTGCACCCTGACCTCCAGGAGCACACAGGCCAGTAGGAAAAAGTAGCTGTGTAAATGGATCTCTAGGATGCCCTGGGCAGTGCTAAAATTAGAGGTGTGTGCCCAGCAGGGTGAGGTCACTCGTGTGAGAGGTTTTACCCACGGGGGGGGGGGGGCTGAGTTCTCATGGAGACAGCTCAAGGATGTGCAGGCAGGAGCCAGGAGTACTGCAGTGAGGAGAAGGAGACCAGGGTGCCCAGGCCAGGATGCTGAGTGGCCTGAGTGTCTTATTCATATTATTCCTATTCACTCCCTTGTTCGATTCCCTTCTGACTCTCTGATGGCATGAAGGAGAGAGTCTGTCTTCATGCCAGTTTGACTCTTAAGCAGAGGGTGGGCACTGGGGTCACAAACCCTGCACCCATATCTTGTTAGAAATTGTTTTGTTTTGTTTTTTGGTACCGGAGATTGAACTCAGGACCTTGCACTTTTGAGGCAGGTGGCGGAACTGCTGAGCTAAATCCCTGGCCCTCAATAGGAATCCTAATGTTGTCTCATCTTCCCTGTACTATATTACTTTAACGGTCATCTGCTGTCTGTGATTAGAGGTACTGTCTTCCCATTGGTAGTAATGATAGAACATCTCCTTTTAAAAATCAACCTAAATTTGAGAATTATATCAGATTAAGAAATATATTAAATTGGCCAGGCATGGTGCTGCATGCTTGTAATCCCAGCACTTAAGAGGCTGAGGCAGGAGGATCACTGCAAGTTTGAGGCCAGTATGGGTAACATAGTTCAAGGCCAACCTCAGCCAAAAATAAAAAGAAAGAAAGCAAATAACATTAAAATTGGTATTACCTCTATATAGAGTGATTTAACATCAAAACTTTAGGACTGGAGATGTAGCTCAGTGGCAGAACATGTGCCTAATATACATGAGGCCCTGGGTTCAACCCCCGGCACCACATAATAAAATTAAAAAATACAATGCCGGGCCAGGGGTTTAGCTCAGTGGTTTCACCATCTGCTTCGCAAGCGCAAGGACCTGAGTTCAATCCCCGGTAACAAAAAAAATACAATGCCTATGCAAAAATAAGCAACACTATTCTATGCTGCTGGATGTTCCCATGACATTGTCCCCACTGGGAAGGGGAAAGGACTAAAGAGTGCAGGAGGAGATTTTTGGTTTCCACTGTGTGACCTGGGGGCTGATTGTGCACTGTACTCCCTTTTTGAAAACTCACGGAGCCATACATGCCTTTGTTAGGTGTGTTCCTGTATTAGTTATATATTCATACAGCCTTTAACCCAACAATTCCACCTCCACAACTTACCTACAGACATACACACATATGCAAAATGACATAAAGAAACCCACTGCATCACCTGCAGTAGCAAAAGATCAGAAACAACCTCAGAATTCCCCAACTGGAGCCAGATTAAATAAATTTTGACACAGTCTAGAAAGAAGGAGGGCTGGGGATTTAGCTCAGTGGTTTCACTGCCTGCCTCAAAAGCAGAAGGTCCCGAATTTGATCCCCGGTACCAAAAAAAAAAAAAATTAGAATGAAGTCTATGCAGTCATCAAACCAGATGAGGCATCCCCTGGCACATTTCCAAATTTTACAAGGATTTAAGTGAAAATGGGGATAGACATATGTGTGCACAGTGTGCTACTTTAAGTGAAAAAAATATATATATACCATACATATATGTTTGTGCCTAGGGCATCCCTGGCCGAGGGTATCTCAGGAAAGGATCACAAGAAACTGGGTCCTCTGACCCTCTGGGCTTGGCAAGTGGAGGTGAGGGGTCATCTCTGACCCTTTTCCACTTCTAAATCATGTGCTATGTGCATCCATTTCCTATCAATAACAATTTTGCAGGCAAAGCCTTAGAGAAGGTACCTGGGTATGGTAAATCTTCCAGCCCCTCCAAACACAGAGGCAGAGATGAAAGTGTTAGCACTCTGGGCTTATAAAACAAGTAGCCCTTGTCCCTACCCCTCCTCTTGCCTGAGTATAAAGGGCTTTTTATAAAGAGCTTTCCTGTAAACGGTTTCCAGTTAACAGCACACCTGGTCCAGAACAAATTACTTAACTCACACAGAGCCTCTGCCCTGCAGCCAAACTCTGGCACCTGAGCTTCCCTGGCAGCACTGGCTGAGTTCTTGGCATGGGTGGGGAGATGTTTAAGCAGAAATGCTTCCAGGGATGGGAGTAAGGCTAAATCAGAGGAAGGATTCCAAGTTCTGAGTCCTGCTCTGCCCTCAAAGAAGCAAAGCAAGGGCCAAGAGGCAGGCTTCTCTGGGTCCTGCAAAAGACAGTGACAGCACAGGCCTTTGGAAATTTGAGTTTGGTTTTATTTAACTGCATAATTAACCTGTGTATAAAACTCTTCTCATTCATTCTCTCGCCATGGTATTAATCCTAAAAAACACTCTAGTGAGGTTCAGGGCAGTGTAACCATTTTTGCAGATGAGGAAATGGAGGTGTGGGGAAGTAGAGATCAGCCAGTGCTTACACACCAAGGGAAGAGGTGAAGCCTGAAGTGGAACCCCCAGCTGCCCACCCAGAAGCCTCGGCCTTTCCTTTCAACTCTGACATCTGAGAGAGGTCATCACAGGCTAGATAGGGCAGGCAAAGAAACCCTGGGAACTAAAAGGACCAATGAGACCATCTAGCGCAGCAGTTTTCAATTCTGATTGCACACTAGAATTACCTGGGAAGCTTAAGTAAATTTGAATAAATACTTAGGGCAGGGTACAGGAATGTGTAGTGTTTTTTAAAACTCTCTGATTCTGATGCAACTGTCCATGAGAAGCACTGAATTATAGCTCCCGGCACCCATCCCAGTCCCATACACAGTACAACCTTTGGCCTTCCTGCAGCCTCCACCAGGGGTCCCTGTGCCATCCTCCAGCCTCCAAATGGACTGCTTGCTCATTTCTTACTCCACATTACCTGGAGGCAGAGAGTTGGACTGGAAGCCTGTTAAGAGTCTTCTAGGTGGAAAAGTCACTTAACAGTTCTGAGGCCCAAAACAGAGGCGTGACTTGGCTAAGATAACCCAGTGGATCAGTAACCCAGCGAATCAGGATTTCCTGACCACCAGCTGGGGTCACACCCACAAAGGGATTGTCTGAGGCCAGTCCCTTGGGAAATGCAGCTGCTCCAGACACCAGAAGAGATCCATCGAGGGGCTGAGGAGGAAACCGGGATGGAGTGTGTGTTTCAGGGGACACAGGGTATCAGTGACACCCTGGGAGCCTCTGAAAGTCCACCTTTGTGGCACACCGGCACAGAGGGCTATTCTGTAGGGACGGGGTGGAGCTGGCCTGCAGAAAGATGTCCTTATTCCTAGACTAAGGCCAGAGAGTCTAAAATGCCCTTATAGAAACAGAGACTCTTGGGGCAGCTTATCCTACATGGTTCTGGATTACCCACCCATAATACTGGGTCAAATTTCTCGAGGTCTTCGCTGGTCCCTATGCTAAGCACTGTACTCGGCCTAATCATTTAATCTCCACTTGTGCCCTAAAAGGTGAAAATAATTTTTGTCTCCATTTTCAGTTGAGGAAACTACAGCCAGGAAACATGAAAGACCTTCCCCAAGATCCCTCAGTGAGAAAGTGGTAGCCGCAAGATTCAAAGCTTAGTGCATCCAGGTCCAACTACTAGCAACTCACTCCTCAACGTGGGAGGAGAGGACAATCCAGTAACAGCGGAAATAGTAACTGGACACCTAGGAGTGGCCAGAGACATGGTCTAGTGGAGTCCTCCACCCTACAGAGAAAGCACAGGCATCCTTCTTCCACCACGACAGAGGAAACCAAGACGCAGAGGGAGCATCTTGCCCAGTAGCGGGACCAGACCCGGAACCAGGCAGTCCCCATCACAAAGCCAGGCCGCTTCGTTGCAGGTTGGCAGGGAAGCAAACAGCAACAACTTGTAGGGGCTGGGGCGCGGCCAGCACCGTAACCACCTCCTGCCCAGTCCGCCAGCCCAAGCGCAAGGACCACCCCGCACCCCGCGAGCTCCACACAGGTGAGCTACGTGGCCCTAGGTCGGCACTGGACTCAGCCCTCCCGACGAGACAGGTGGAATTCGAGCTGAGCTGGGACCGCCAGGATTTCCCAGGGAGAGCAGGGCGCGCTCCCCGCGTCCTCCAGAGAGCGTCTGAACCAGCCCCGGTCCGGGTGTGGGAGCGATCCGACCGTATCCCACTCCTCACCCCTGTTCTCAGGCCCCACTGGGGTCACTCACCCAGAACACTGTGGAGTAGATGATGAGCGAGAACTTGAGCCAGAGGTAGGAGAAGCGCGCGCAGTAGCGCACCTGCTCCGAGTCCCCGCGGGGCATCCTGGCTCAAGGTCCTACCTGCGGCTGCCAGCGGCGCGCCCCGCCACCAGAGCCCTCGCCCCGACTGTTCCCGGCGAGCAGCAATCACGGCCCCGCCCCCCGAGCCCGCATCCTGTCGGCCAATGGGAGTGAGGCAGCGGCCCAGTCTCTGAAAGGGGGCGGGGAGGGGCGGGGCTGCCGTTTCGGACCCAAGAGTCGACCGAGCCAGGGGAAGGGGCGAGTTTTACTAGCCAGCTCTCGCTGAAACCCTGAAACCTCCCGCGCTCCTGGCGCGGAGGGAGGCGTGGAAGAACGCGGAGCAGACTTGGGCTGGAAGAGAGAGCGCGCGTGCCTGATCGGGGTTCTGGGAGAGCAGGCTTTGGGGGGACTAGGGCTGTAGCTCGGTGGTGCCGCTCTTGCCTAAGACCCTGGGCTCCACCCCCACTACCCGGGCGGGTGGGGGGGGGGGGGGGACGGTGTTGGGCAGCGGGCGGGGGGGGGGGGGGGGAGAAAGAAAAAAGGAAAAGGAGCAGGCCTTACACTCTTCCAGAGAAAAGACTATCGGAAAGGGGCAGGGATTAACCGCCCAGATACTAAAGGTGCAAATGAGTGTGCAAGGCGTAAATGGAATAAGAAAGTGAAGTTGCCAGGCCGAGGAGGGGCGGGTGCTGCATCAAGGAAGGTGTAGCAGTCCAGGTTAGAGCCTAGCAGTTCCCAGGGAGACTCAGTCTCCTCTTGGGACAAGTCTGCACCAGGCCTTTCCCCTACTGATCCTGGAAGTCCCCCTCTTGAGCGCCTGGGCCAGCCCTGCCCCCAGGGCTTCTTCCACTGGGGAATCCTCTGTCCCTGGGGAAGCTCCCTGCTCTCCACTTAGCTTGTTGTGAACGGGTCTCTTCCGGCCTGGCCTCAGTTCTCCCTGCCATCAGAGGTGGCTGTGAATCTGTCTTCCACACTAGCTCGTCACAGCTTCGCTCGTTGTTGTTTTCCTGTTCCTGAGGCCTAGCTCGGTTTGGGAGGCAGGCAATCCATCCGTTTGTGGCATTCAATAATTAAATGCATGGCCCAGAGGTCAGGAGTTCAAACAGTGGAGGGTGGGGTCCCTGCTGGTGACTCTAGGAATGACAGCTTCTCCAGTGCCCTGCCCTGGGCTCCCAGCCGTCCTGCATGTGCACACACAGACAAGAAGAGAAACTGAGACAGGCTAGTGAGGCCTCAGGCTCTGCCCCAGGAGGAAGACAGTGAGACTAGAAATATGGAGGAGGCCATGCCTTGCCTGTTAGGCCAAAAAAGGAAACTTCTCCTGGTACAAGGAAGAGTAAGTCCTGCTAGGATGGGGTAGCCTAGGGCAACCAGGGACTGATGCAAGTTACCTTCAAGTGAATGACCAGAGCTAGGAGGACATCTTATCACCATGTTGAAAGTTGTCATTTCTGTCCTTTAAGGAGGAGGACTAACATTCAACTCTCTCTGGAGGCTAGAGCCTCCCCTCCCTCCAGCTAGCATTACTCACACTTTGGGGTGCTGGTTTCTGTCCCCATCCCTACTAGTCCTCTCCATCCCCTGGAGAGCTAGTTTTTCCCTGTATCCTCCCAGAGGGGCCTTCTAGCCTCCTTCCCCACTCTCTGAATTAGGCTCCAGCCCCAGCTACCCACCTGCTCCCCATTGAGGTTTTCCTTCCTGTTGCCCTCTCTCACCTTCCCCATCATCCCCCACGGCACACAGCTTCTGAAGGGGCACTCTCAGAGATTCTCTTCTAAGGCGCCCCAAGGGCTCAGGGTGAGGTGCCCCTGATGTAGGAGATGGCACAGGGCTCCTTCATTGTACCTCTGCACCCACACTCTGCAACTGCAAGTACAAGGCACTCTCCTGAGCCATATTTGCAAACACAGAGACCTCAGAAGAAATGGTTACCTGTTTTCCACTTTTCCCCTCTTTGTCCAGGAGCTCTGGGCTGCTAATCCATTACCTTTTCGTGGGATCCTTAGAATATGTGGTATAATGTGACATACGGCAGATCAGAATCACCTGGTGAACTTTAAATGTACCCTGAGCAGTGTGTGGCACAGGCCTGTAATCCCAGCACCCAGGAGATTGAAGCAGAAGGATCATTAAGTTTAAGCCCACTTGGAGCAATTTAGCAAGACCCTGTCTCAAAAAAAAAAATTAAAAAGGACTGGAGATGTAGCTCAGTGTGAAGTTCCTGTGTTCAATCCTTAGTACTCCCCCTGCAAAAAAAAAATCCAAGCATAGTGGTGCATACCTATAATCCCAGCACTCAAGAGGCTGAGGCAGAAGGATGCCAAGAGTTCAAGGACAGTTTAGGCTACATAGTGAGTTCAAGGCCAGCCTGGAATATATAGTGAGACCCTGTCTCAAAATAAATGAATAAATAAATAGATATACCCTGGTATTCAAGCACCATCCCAGTCGAGTTGGAATCTCACCAACAGAGACCTGAAATCAGTATTAATTTCATGTTCCCAGGTAATTTCTAAACTGCAGCCAGGATTAAGCATCACTGTGTACAGTTAGTCATGAGGCTGAGGGAGTCCGTCAATATTTTATCACAAACCCACACCCCAGAGACGTCATTTACTCAGCTCTCCACCGGTATGCTGAAAATTTTAAAACTTGGGGGCCGGGTTTTCGCTCAATGGTTTCGCTGCCTGCTGTGCAAGCGCAAGGACCCGAGTTCAATGCCTGGTACCAAAAAAAAAAAAAAAAAGAAGAAGAAGAAGAATGTAAAATTGGCTGGGGTGGGGAAAGGATATTAATGATTTCCATAGTGTGGATATTTCATCACCTAACTTTAAGTTACCAACTTGATGTCAGCCAACCTGAGAATTTGGCAGAAACATGCACAGCCTTGCATGATCAGTATCCCACACCTAACTGTACCACAGTCCACCCTACACTTTGCTGATTAGCACAGTGAGTGCACTGGTGAAGTGTTGTGTATTAATTAGCATTACAAGTATTAGTAATGAGATCTTCTTTGGTGAAATTAATAGTGTTCAAGATATATAGACTGGCTAAAATACAGTGTAGACACCACTTATTCCTTGTTGAGAGTAAAAGACTCTTGGGAAACAGCTGGTTCCTACTTGGAGATGGTGCATGGGTTTAATTCCACACAGGGCCTCTGTCCTTCAGATGTGACCAACAGTCTCGCTGAGTCCTGCCTGTAGAACATTGTGTTTTCTTTGAGCAGACCCTTCCTTTGGGTGGTAGGGCTCCTAACAGGTCAGAGAACTAGGCCTTCATTGATTTTACAGAATAAAACCAAACACAAACCAGTTTTGTGGCTGCTTGCTAATAAAAGTTTGTTTTCTAGACATTTTTATGAGCAGCAGAATGTGTTCTGAGATCTGTTCTTATGATATTTAGGGAAAAATAACTCTTGCCTTTACTGGCTACCATGGTTGATGACAATCTAAGGATCATGCATGGCAGCTCACTTGGGTACATTTTCATTCCTGCAGTCAAGCACCTGGCTCTCTCTGTGCCTCTGTTTCCCCATCTGTAAACAATGGGGTTGGACTGATTCTACTCCAGCTCTGAGCATCTTAGCTGTCATCCTTACAGTCAGTAGGTCAGTCGGCAGAATACACTGCACTTCTACTCTGAGTCAAGTCCTGCCCAGGCTCAGGGATACAGCTTCAAACAAGGTAGATAGGAGCTCCTGTTCTATTCTATTAGGGCATCAGGACTAAGGGACATGCAACACAGGATGCACACACACACACACACACACACACGCATGCGCGCGCGCGTGGGTGACTGCAGATCCTGGAGCAGGCTAACCACCAGAGAGAAGAGCTGTTAGGTGGAAGAAACAGCAAGTGCAAAGGCCATGTGACAGGAAAGCCTGGGAAAAGTTCCTGTGGCTCCTTGGAGGCACCAAGGGGACCACAGAAGGAGGCAGCCAGCAGACAGAGGGAGAAGCCTTGTAGCTTCAACAAAGAAGTTCAGCTTATTTCCAGTTTCAGTGCTAGGGTTTAAGCAGGGAAGTGAATCTGATTTGTGCCCCAGAAGGAGCAGCAGGGCTGAGGCTGAAAGGAGGAAGTCTGGTTACGAGGCTGGGGCACCCATCCCAGTGCAAGGAGGTTTGGGCTTGCACAAGGGTACAGCCCTGGAAATGGGCCAGGTGGTTAAATTGGGGTACAGACTAGAGGCACAGCTAATAAGACTTCCTGATGGACTGGATATGAAACATGGGAAAAGAGAAATCTGTGCAGGTCATAGCTTTTTTTGCATTGGACAAATAGGTAGATATTTCTGTCATTTACAAAGGTGAAGAAGATGAGGTGGAGGAAGGGGGAGGATAAAAAATCAATTATTTTGGGCATTTGTCTATTTATTTATTTTTGTGGTGTTGAGGCTTGAAGCCAGGCAGGGGCCCATACATGCTAGGCAAGAGCTCTACCACTGAGGTACTTGCCCAACCCTATTTTATTTTTTGAGATTTTGGGGGGAACTTAGGTGGAGTTGTGTAGGGACCTCAGCGATGAGCTTTGGTTGGATGGTATAAATTTGAGAGTCATCAGATCACTGTGAGCCTCAGGCTCTGTGAGATCATCTCGAGAGAAAGTATAGCAAGCCAAGAGCCACAGACAGAGCCTGCAGCCTTCTTATCCCACATCAAGAGGAAGAGGGGCCAGCAAAGAAGACGGAAAAGACTCAGCCAGCAAGGTGACAGGCACACTTGCAGAAGCTGGAAGAGAAGTGGAAGAGGATTTAGTGTCCTGAGAACTCCCCTTTGCATTCAAAGGCTTCTACTGGCTCCTGAGAGATCGGGTACAGGAGGAGAGAGAATCAGTCACTGGCTTTGCAAGATGTGGGGCTTCAGTGACTTCATAAGAGCTCTTCTGATGGAGTATTGGGGGATGCAGACTTATTAGAATCAGTGATGAGAGGTGGGAGGCTCTTAGAAAGCTGAGGCAGGAAGGTCACCATGAGTTCGAGGCCAGCCTGGACTAGTGAGTTCAAAGTCAACCTAAAATACATTTCGAGACCCTGTCTCAAAAAAAAAGCTTGTGGAAAGGAAAGCTGAGAAATGGAGGAGACAGGTACAAATAACATAGGGAAGTCCACTTTCAATATCCCTAATCCAAAAATCAAAAATCCAAAATTCTCATCACCAGTATGACATCACAAGTAGAAAATTCCACACCTGGTCTCATGTGATAGGTAATGGTCAAAACACAGGTACACTGAAATTGTTACGTAAAATTACCTCCAGGCAATGCATACAAGGTGTGTATGAATTATAAATGAGTCTAGAAGGGGAACAGCTGGGTCGAATGGAATTTCTAATTTTGGTTTTGTGAGGAGTGTCCATACTGATTTATGCAGTGGTGGTACTACTTTAACTCCCACCAACAATGTGGAGGGCTGCTTTCCCCACAGCTGCACACTGTGCTGGCCTTCCGACTTGCTTTTGTCCAGAGCAAGTGAGGCAAGTGAGGTTATTTGAGTTCTCAGCCTTGGAACCAGGATGCCTTGGGCTTCTGCTTGGGCCCCTTGCACTGTTGCTGCCATGACGACGCGGGGAGCCCGTCTGCTGGAGAGACCACCTACAGAGGAGCCAAGCTTCCACTCCAAGAGCCAAGTACCAGACACTAGTGAAGCCATTGTCCCCCAACCAGCCTTTAACCCAAGAGCTACCTACACCCTCTGGTTAATCCAGCTGAGCAAATTCAGAGGCTCATGGGCTAATTCATGACTGTTGTTTTTTGGGTTTTTTGGTACCAGGGATCGAACTCAGGACCTTGCATTTGAGAGGCAGGCGAAACCACTGAGCTAAATCCCCAGCCCTCCTGACTGTTGTTTTAAGACACTAAACTCTGGGGTGATTGCTCTTACAGCAAAATCTTAGATCCTTAAAAAAATCAAATACCCTCTTCTTTCCTCTTCCTCTAATTCTTCCCCCAAAACACGATCCTTTTGAGCCTGTGTACTTATTCAGGAGCAGGGACTTTAGTAGCACTCCAAGCTGTCCTTGCCTCCTGAAGGTGCTTTTCCTGGCTCTGATTTTTGGCCATTTCTTCCCCCCCATCCTGTTTCTGCTCTCCAGGATCTATGTTATCTCTAAGAGTTATTTATTTAGCATCAGGCATTGAGCTGGGCTTTCACATAGTTACTTCTTAATTCTTACAAGCCATGAAATATGTTGTTATTGGGCCAGGGATTTAGCTCAGTGGCTCCACCACCTGCCTCACCAGCGCAAGGACCAGAGTTCGATCCCCAGTACCAAAAAAAGAAATTTGCTGTTATTAAACTCATCTTGCAAATGACAGGACTGAGGGTCAGAGAAGTAAACTGAGTTTTCTCAGTGAGGAACTTAAAGTGCGCCTTGGCCCCGAAAACAATGTGCTTTTGGGGGTGGGGGTGGGGTACCAGGGATTGAACTGGGGACCTTTTGCAGCAGGCACCGGAACCACTGAACTAAATCCCAGGCCCTATAATGTGCTTTTTACTCTGACCTGATTGTTGCCCCAGCTACATTTGAATGAAATGGTTTAACTATGTGGCTTAAAAAGAAAATTGGAACAATATACTCAGTTCAAATATTGAGTGTTTAATACTGGTTAGTTGAAACTTTACATAGAGTTTTGGAGGGGGGAAGATTTGGTAGTATTTTTCTTTTGGTTTTTTGAGACAGGGTCTCACTCTGTGGCCCATGCTGACCTTGAACAAGTGATCCTCCTGCCTCAGCCTCCCAAGTGCTGGGATTACAGGCATCCACCACCATGCCCAGGAACAGAGTTATTGTAGATTACCACAGAACAGTAGTTCCATGAGATTTTAAGAGATTTGTAAAGACGAATCCTTCAGTAAGTCTGGAAACTTCTCTTTCATAGTCGTTAGAGTGAAAGCAGATATTGTCTCTCTAAGCGGGAAGAGGGCTGCACGGCCTCTCTGAACTATATTTGAGGACACAACCTTATTTCCCCAGATACCAGCTATTAACATCTCAAGGAACTAGCATCCCTCGAACTGCAGTTTGGGAAATGCTGCCCCATGAGACTGGTTTTTAGTTCTTTTGGAGTTGAAAGTGACTTCCTCAAAGTTATGTGCTCTGTACTTCAGAGCAAAATTAAAGACAACAGTGATTATTTAAATTTTGTGCTTGCCCTAGCCCAGAGGGTACAACTTTTTCTCCTGTGATTATTAAACAAAACAACCAGACTCATCTGAGACCTCACTTCATCTCAGTGGTCCTCAGTGCATAGCACAGCAAGGGGCACATATTGGTGACTTTGGGATTCAGAACAAGAACGCCAAAGAAATGCAAGAAGCTCATTGCCCAGAGGACCAAACCAGTCTTCACTCTGTAGCCTTGCAAACCCCGTAAGGGCCACAGCTAGCAGCCTGCTTCTCCGGTCCTGTCCCAGAACTGCCCTGGGGGCTTCGCCCACTGAAGATTACCTGCTGGGACCCTTCCCCCTGCGTCCCAAGCTGCCTTCCTGCCCCTTCTTCACCCCACCCCAGACTGTTTCTGGCCTTCAAGAGCCCCAGGGAGCTTCCTGTCCTAGAGGCCCACTGTTCTGTCCCTGCTGCCTCCTGCTTGGGACATCATCCTGGCCAGCGGCACAAATGCTTCCGGCCCTTCGAGATTGCCCAGGCCTTCCTTCCCATTGTCCTCTGACAACAGGGCAGTGGATGGTCTTGGGCACAGCTGTGGGGTGTGGGAAAGTGGGGAGCTCTGAGTATAACCTAACTGACCAACCCGGGGGGCTATTATTGAATGGTGTCTGCAGCCATTGAGAGCAATATGGGGAGGTCCTGTGTGTCCTGGGAACTGCTCTTTGTGCATTGAGCTCTGTCTGTGTGTTTGGGGTAGAGGTGGGACTTAGGTCATGCTCTCCTGGTTCTGAGACTTCTGCAAGGCTTTCTGGGGCTCCATCCCCAGGATGAGTGGAGGAGCAGAGGTGCCTAGAGAGGAACTTTGGAGAGAGAGATCAGGGAGACCTGGAGAGAGGGGTCCAGGCCAGAGTGCAGAGAATCACACGAGAGGGTTGCGCCAGGCAGGTGTCCTAGCATCAGGCCTGGGGTTGAGAGGTGGCTGAGCCTCCTGGAGTCCTGTCTGCTGTGCCCTGTCAGCCCTGTGGGGAGGGGACAGGCTCTGGATGTCCACAGTCCCCTGGCAATGGGTGACTGCATGAGGTGGGGGCACCCTAGGGGGTCCCTCCATGCTGGGGCGAGGGGAGATGGAACAGGATAACCAACCGTAAGTTCTGTGTGGAGAGCTGCGGGCACACCTATCTGCAAGGGGGACTGCTTTGAGAAGGTAGAGGGGGTCTCCTCAATTAAAAACCCAACAAAAAGGAAATCCAGTCCTGTCCTACAAGACTCAGTCTCCCAACCTGAGGTCTAGGTGCACCTGCACACCCTTTGGGACTTTTTCACCCCTCAGCAAGTCTCTGCAGTCAAACAACTGGTCCTGAAGATGGTGAGGCTTGGCCAGCTCGGCCACAGTGCTGGGAGCTCCCCAGAGGCCCTGGTGCCTGTGACTGTAAGCACCGTCTCCCGACCCACCAGCCAGGCCTTCCACAGGGCAGCCGGGGAGAGAATCCTCCTGTCCTCCCTGGGACCCTGACAATGTGGGGCTCTCTTTTCCTTGACCACTCACCTTCGGGATTCCTTGGGGGAACAGTGGATGCCCCAGCAAGCTCTGTTTCCTCAGCCAAGCTTGGTGGCATACTACTGTAATCCCAGCGCCAGGGAGGCTGAGGCAAGAGGATTGCCATGAGGTTGAGGCCAGCCTGGACTACATAGCAAGACCCTGTCTCAAAAGACAAACAACAAAAAAAATCTATTTCCTCTCTTTTTGTCCCTTCTTTCTAGGCTGATCAACCATCCTGGTTTGTGGGGAACAGGGAAAGGGGACTTTACTAGAACCTCTGCATTAAGTCCTGGTCTCCTGTGAGCCACGGCAGCACACGGCGAATTACAAGAAAGGTAGAAAAATGAGACTGAGAAGAAGCTGAGCTTTGGGTCTGATCAGTGCTGCTCTGGGAGGCAAAGACCCCCTAGCTTGCCGCACCTTTTATCGCGTACATCAGGAGAAACAAATGTAACAAATAAAACGCAGAGTTCAGTACTTTACATTGGGATAAACAAAGTGTAAAAAGACTAGGAGGCAGTGGAAATCTAAGAACAATGAGGAACTATGCAGATGAAAATTCGGTTCCTCCCTGGCATCTCCCAAAGGTGTGGTCTTGTCCTGGAGATTACAGCATCATGGGATCACTGAGGTCTCAATAGTGATGGGAGGCCAAAATGGAATTCTGTCTGGAATGCCATAGCTGACCTGTAGGCTGAAGAACTAGGCCTAATCAAAGGATTCTTCCCTAAAATTATGTAGCATAGCTCCCAACACTGGTTCACCCAGGACAGGGCTGGTTCTAGGGCCTTGGGAGTTCCCATTTCTGAAACCATACAATCTCAAGCACACCGTGACAGTTTGCCTGGGACTGAGGGGTTCCTGGCCACAGGACTTTGGAGGCCCACACCAGGAGCAAAAGCAGGACAATTTGGTCACCTTGGTCCATTGCATCCTTCCAGCCTCTCAGAACAAGTAGCCCATGGTGAGGGGCTCAGGCCTATACCCTCACTGTGAGGCAGGAAATTAGGGTGTAGCAAAGCAGCTAGGCAAGTGGATGTGACCTGTCAATCACAGAGATCCAGGATACATGAGGCCAAGCCCTGCACCTGGGACCAATCAGAAAATGCTATCTTCAATTCCTCTGGCCTGAGATCAAGCAAGTTTTTCATGGGACTGCCTAGATCTGACTTCAGCCTGAGGGATAAAGGATACAAAAGACATCTGCCATTAACTTCATGGTCCCTGTGACTTTCTTAGCAGCTGCTCCCACTCTGCAGGGTGTACTTCTTTTCCTAACTTTAATAAATGCAAACCCTCACTACCTTTTGCGTGTGTCTTGTCCAGTTCTTTGTTCAGGACAAGAACCTGGAAAGAATCTCTGGAAGGAACCCACAGCACCCCAGAACCCTAGTAATAGGAAGGAGAATACAGACACAGGAAGGGAGATCCAGGACAGGGTTTGTGTGGAAGAGGAGACACTCATTTCGGGATCCCTTAGGACAGGCCTAGAATGGAGCCCCCAGAACCAGGACAGCGCTGCCAAACATTCCATTCAGAGGCGGAAGAGGGGGTCATGTAACAGCTCCAATGCATACAAGCTGAGAAAGGACAGTTGAATGCCATTTACCTTTCTGGGACACCAGTATCATCCATGAAATGGAGGCTTTCAGCGACTAAATGGGCATCCATAATCCCTAGCTACTAAGAAGGCTGAGGCAGGTTAAAAATCAACCTGGGCAATTTAGTGAGACCACATCTGAAGGAAGGAAGGAAAGAAAGAAAGAAAGAAAGGAAGAAGGAAGGAAGGAAGAAGGAAGGAAGGAAGGAAGGAAGAAGAAAGAAAGGAAGGAAGGAAGGAAGGAAGGAAGAAAGAAAGAAAGAAAGAAAGAAAGAAAGAAAGAAAGAAAGAAAGAAAGAAAGAAAGAAAGAAGGAAAGGGAGACACTTGAAATCAAGCACAGTGCCTGGGACAAAGCAGGCACTAAATAATAGCAGTGAGTCACATCTTCCAACAGCCTCCATGGCGCCAGCACCAGGAACCCTGCACCTGAAGTGGGGCTGAGCCAGAGTCCATCAGACCCCGCCTCCTTGCTGGCTCAGGTGCCAGCCCTGCACTTGGTGTCTGTCCTCTGGCTGGGTGACTGCTCCCCGGATCACCACTGTGAGGCAGGCTAGAAGGAACTAAAGGCCAATAAATGGGAAAGCAGAGGCTAGGTGATGCCCCAGGTCACCAAGGAAACCAGCAGTAAACCAAGGCTACCTTCAGAGGTGTTTCCTCAAGTCCCAGAGCTGAGCAGTCTATAGACATCACTGTGTCCAACACTCATGTGAAAGGACAGAGACTCCAGCTGAAAGAGGAATATACGTCCTGTAATCCCAGCACTCAGGAGGCTGAGGCAGGAGGATTGCTTTGAGTTTGAGGCCAGCCTGGGCTACATAGTGTGTTCAAAGCCAACCTGAACTATATGGAAAGACCTTGTCTCAAAAAGCCAACAATAAACAAAATAAAAGAGAGGTGGCCTCTTGCTCACATTGTGTGTATATGCTCCCCCTCCCAACCTGCAGTACTGGAGATTGAGCCCAGGGCCTTGTGCATGTTAGATGAACATTCTACCACCAAGTCACACTCCAAGCTCTTTTTTAAATTTTATTTTGAGATTGGGTCTCACTATATCACCCAGGCTAGCCTTGAAGTCAGAATCCTCCTGCATCAGCCTCCTGTGTAGCTGAGATCTTAGGCATGTACTGTTGCACCCAGTTGTTGTGAGTTTTTCTATATAGGGGTTATATTTTACAATAAAATGTTTTATACATTTTTGTTTTTAAAACAGGATCTCACTCTGCCATCCCAGCTGGCCTTGAACTCATGGTGATCCTCCTGCTTCAGTATCCTACATGCTAGAATTACAAGCATGCATCACCATGCCAGACTTTCAAATTTTTTTTTAAAGAAAAATATACTTATTTTCATTTTCACTTCCCTGATAATTAGTGAGGTTGCATTATATTAACTTGTTGATTAGCCATTTATACGTCTATAAATTTCCTGTTTCTGTCCTTTGCATGTTTTCCAATTAAGTAACAGAGGCTTTGAAAGGCTGACAGGCTGAGAAATGCCGTTTGCCCCTCTCATGCCCCAGGAGAGGGACCATTCAGCTGAGGAGACACCAGCTGGTCTCTGGCAGAAGACAGTCTCACCATCAGCTGCCAGCGAAGTTGGCCTTGTCAGGGTTCCGCCAGGAATTCTGGGAAAGCAGGCCTGGTGGCCCTGACTGACAGCATGGATGTTGGGCCAGGCTGTGTGACTCACACTGGGAGTGACTGGGTGCTGAGGAAGCTCCACCTGTCACTCTGGAGGGCAGGACAGCTGCTTTGGGACAGGCTGGGTGCTGCTGAGGAAGGGGAACATTATTAGACAAGCTGGCTGGGCTCCCAGAGCAGTTGGAGGTCTTGCTTAGTCTGTTTTCCGTTGCTCTAACAAAATGCCTGAGACCTGCTAATTTATAAAGACCTGAAGTTAATTTAGCTCACAGATCTGGAGGCTGGGAGTCCAGGAGCATGGTGCCACATCCGGAGAGAGCCTTTGTGTTGCAGCAAACACAGCAGACAGCATCACATTCTGAGACTTCTTATAAAGCACTAATGCCATGATGAGAGCTCCACCTTCATGACCTCATCTAATCTTAATTATCCCCAAAAGGCCAGACTTCAAATACCAGTAACCTAAGAGTGTGAGGAGTAAATTTCCAAAGCATAAATTCTGGGAAACAGTCAAACAGTAGCAGGTGCCAAGACTGAGGACACAGAAGACCAGGACTTTCTCCTGTGCTACAGAGGACAGCAGGTAGAAGCAACAGGAGCCTTTCACACAGGAAGCACAGGAGTCTGCTGGCCCCAGGCCAGGAAGGTAACAAGCCAGAGTGCTGCTGTGTGCTGGGTACTGTGGTGCCCCAGCAACCCTTAAGGGTGGGCCTCACCGTTGACAGTTGACAAAGCACTTTCCTTCCACATATTAGGGCACTGGCCATTCCTACATTTGCTTGTACTGTACAGTGTTCCCTTTCCTGTTGGGCTGGGGAATGATGAGGTGGGAAAGATCATCTTACCACCAGATGCACCATGAGGTCTGTACTCCTGGTGGGGTGCTGGGCACAGGTAGACGCTCATTAAATGTGAATGGTTCCCATGAGCCACCTCTGGACCATGTGGGCTGATTCTGCTGCAGTCCCACACAGACTGCATGGCTGTATCCCTCCCTGGGCTTCCAGCAGAAATCCAGGCCCCTGTGCATATGATGAAAATGACCCCTGGGCGGGGGGGGGGGGTCAGTCCCCTGCTCCCAGACGTCCTGGCTCTGTTCTGCTACTTCCTGTTCTCCCTTGGCGCATTTCAGCTTCCTCTTTCCTCCAGTGCAGCTACTAGGCTCTGCCTCACATACCCAAATCCCTCCTGGCTCGGAAAAACCAAGTGCCCTCTGTGGGCAAAATAGAAATTTATGCTCCCAACAGGTATTGGTTCAACTGTTGGTTTTCTTTCTCCTGGTCATCATCAAGACAGGGAGGATTCTCCCTGTTTTACTCAGAATGTGCGCCCAAAGCCACAGCTCTTTAGGAACCCATAGCCTCCTCAATGTTCCCTCCAAGCTCCAGAGCAGTGTCTTTGCCAAGTAGATGGCCCTGAGCATTTTGGGAGGACTCTGAGGACCAGCCAAGTCCTGGAGAGTGACAGTAGCAGCTGGGAAAGCGTGCAGGTGAGTGTGCAGTTAGCCTGCCATTTAGCAGTTGTTATAGTGCACAGAGACTGCCATGGGGTATCTGCTAATTAAAGTCATCTGGAGGGCTGGAGATTTAGCTCAGTGGTGCCACTGCCTGCCTTGAAAGCGCAAGGACCAGAGTTCGATTCCCGGTACTAAAAAAAATTTAAAAATAAAAATAAAAAAAATAAAGTCATCTGGGGGTGGAGGGCATCCTGGAATTCCTTTAGTAAAGGACCTAAACTTCTTCCATTTTTACTCTCTTCTAAGGCCAAATCAAGAATGTCCTCTAATTTAGCATTGCTCATGCATCTTTAACATTGCTCAGGAAAGCATGACGTGCTACTGCCCAATGTTCGCTCATTTGTCACTGATGGTGATATATTCTGAGAAAGGTGGTATTAGGTAATTTTTGTCTCTGTGCAAAGATCACCCAGTGTACTTATGCAAAGTGAGATGGCTCAGCATCACAGGCGATGTAATCATTTGGGACCGCCTTTGTGCACATGGCTTATCACTGACTCAATGTCATTACATGGTGCATGACTGTAACAAAACACAACTGAGCAAAATTCGCATGAAACAAACTTACCCTTACCATGAGATACATTTTTAGATCTTTAGTAATCTTCTTAGGGTTTTTGTTTGTTTTTTGAGACAAGGTCTCACTATGTAGTCCAGGCTAGCTTTGAACTCACTATGTACCCCAGGCTGGTCTCAAACTTGTGGTGATCCTCCTGCCTCAGCCTCCTGAGTGCTGGGGTTGCATGTGTGCCCCACCATTCCCACCTTCTCCCTTTGCTTTTAACTCCGGTCACAACTTGCTGTTTGAAACCATATCTAATTCAAACTGTTGAGGGACCCCCCCCCAAAAGTCTTACTGGGCCAATTTTAGCACACATGGACATCACACTTGGATTTACAGTGTCTGTTTGTACAGAAAATATCTAGGTAAAATGATAAAAATAAAACCTTTATATATTTGGCTTAAATAAACCTGGAAGTTTCCATGAATGAACATGTATTGCTTGTACCCCTTTCCTGTATCCCCTGCCAGTTCACTAACTCTCTGGGGAACATGGATAGGAAGTACAGGAGGCTGAGGAGAGCCCCTTCCCCTCCAAGGCCAACAGCAGGTTTGGGTCCAGTTTCCAGAGCCAGAACCAAAGGACCAGTGGGAAGAAAAAAAGGCATCGAGAAGGGGATTTCTGGAGGTGATCCATCAGTGGAAGGAACCCTAGCTGTTCCTGGCTGCAGGGCTGCGTGGTCCCTGGGTCCTGCCCCCCCCCCATGACCACCTGGACCACAGTGGAACTGCCCTTGAGGGTTAGTGGCCCTCACTGGCCAGCCAGCAACTGGCACATTTGGGATACAGAGAGAAGCAAGAGTTATTGCCAGGCCCCTTGCCACCAGCCCAAGAGCAAAGAGAGTAAAGGCTCTCCCAGCACTGCCTAGCTTGGCTCTGCTCTAGAAGCACCAGCAGCCTGGTCTCCATGGGAGCCTGAGGGAAACCATGAACAAGTAAAGCAAAGCCCTACCTGATTAGGAGAACTAAGTAACAGGAAGGAG